TCCAGAAGGCCACTCCTCGGAGGAGGAGGAAAGACTAGGTACCCATACCTCTGAAAAAGCGCGCTCGCGGCGCACTTCTCACGGAAAGGGGGGCCCCAGCTTCAAGCTACCCCCCCCCCTTCCTTGGAAGGGGTGCGGGCTTCCAAAGCTAGACCCCCTCCCCCTCCCTTCCTTTTGTGGGCATTTTTTAGTTGGGGTGGCCCTGGCTAGGGGGGGGGGGCTTGGAAACTGCTCCCCCCTCCCCCCCTTTCCGGGACCACAGGTTAGCACGGGCTTCCCTTTCAAAAGGGGGAGGCTTCGGAAGCTACCCCCCATCCTTTTCGCAGCTGAGAGTGGTTTGCCAGGGGGGGACTTCAAAGCAATCCCCCCCCTTCCCTTTCCAGAGCCCAGGGCCAGCCCGGGCTTACCTTTCAAAGGGGGGGGCTTCGGAAGCTACCCCCCCTCATTTTCGCAATTGAGATTGCCTTGCCACGGGGGAGGGGCTTCAAAGCTACCCCCTCCCTCTTTTTCCGGAGCCCAAGGTTAGCCCGGGCTTCCTTTCAAAGGGGGGAGGGCTTCGGAAGCTAACCCCTTCTTTTTCGCAGGTGAGATCGGCGGTCCGTTGGTTTTGGGTGCCTCTTTCGTTTTCGGCGCGTTCTGTTTTTTTTGGCTGTTTTGGTTTTCGGCGCCGCCATGGTTTCGACGATCGTTTGGTATTTGGCGTATCTTATGGTTTTCTGCGCTTATTCGTCGGTTTCTGGTGACTTTTTTGGTGTTCGTCGGCTCTTTGGTTTTCGGAGTTCGGTTGGTTTTCGGTGCCGGTCGGGTTTCGTTGCTCCTTTGTTTTTTGCGCTAATTTTGGTGTTCGGCGTCCAGTTGGTATCGGTGCCCTTTTGGTTGGCGTCGACCGTTTGGGTTTTGGCGGTTCTTCGGGTTTCGGCGTCTCTTTGGTTTTCGGTTTCTTTTGATTTTCGGAGCTCTTTCGGTTTTCGGCGCTCTGTTCGTTTTCGGAGCCTTCTAGGATTTGGGCGCTTCCTTGGTGTTCGGGTGTTTTTTTGCTGCTGTGCGCTCTTTTGGATTTCGGCGCGTCTTTGGTTTTCGTCGCCTTTTGCTTGGTGGCGGTCTTTTGGTTTTCGGAACCTTCCTTTATCTACAGGGGGGGAGGGTTATCCAAGCCATTCTCCTCCTTTGGCCGAACAGGGAGGCAGGCGGGGGTGGCTTCTGGCAGGGATCGTCTAAGGGGAAGGGGCGTCCATGTGGTTTTTGGGGCCGCTCCGGTATTCGGCGCATTGTTGGTTTTCGGCGTACCTTTGGTTTTCGGCAATATGTGGGTTCTTGGGGCATCGTTGTTTTTTGGGATCCTTTTGGTTTTCGGTGTTCTTGTGGTTTTTGGCGCCTGTTTTTGTTTTCGGCGGTCCTTTAGGTTTTGGCGCCTCTTTGGTGGTTCTCTTTGTCCTAAGGTTTAGTTGGCGCTTTATCGTTGTTCGGTGAATCGAAGGTTTTCGGCGTCTGATAGGTTTTCGGCGCCCTATCGGTTTTCGGCGCTCATTAGGTTTTCGGCGCTCCTCTGGTTTTCGGCGCATTTGCAGCTCTCCGCGCCGTCTTGGTTTGTTCGCGTTTCCTTGGTTTTCGGCGACCTTTGTTGTTTTCGGCGGTCTTTGGGTTTGCGGCGCTCCTGTGGTTTCTGCGCCCTCTTGGTTGTCGGAGCATCTTTTTTTTTCGGCGTCCCTTTGGTTTGTGGCGCCTCTGTGGTTGTCGGCGCTCTGTCAGTTTTTTCGGCGCGCTGTTGGTTCTTTGGTCTTCGGCGCTTCTGTTGGCTTCGGCGCCCTGTTGGTTTTTGGCGCTCCTTTGATTTTCGGTCTCTCTGGGTTCTCGGCGTCATTTGGGTTCTCAGTGTGCTTTCGGTTTACGGCGCTCCTTTGGTTTCTGCCGCTGGTTTTGTTTTCGGCGCGCCATCGTTTTTCTGCGCGTCCTTTGAGTGTGGCGACCTGTTGGTTGGCGGCGTTTTTTTGGTTGCATCGCGCCTTGGTCTTCGGCGCTTTCATGGTTTTCGGTTCTTACTGGTTTCTGGCGCTCGTTTCGCGTTTGGAGATCTTTTCGGTCGCGCTTTTTCGTTTTGGGGGCTCCTCTGGGTTTCCGCGCTCTTTCGTAGTTCCGCGCTCTTTGACTTTGCGTTTTTTTGGTTCTCGGGGCAGTGTTGGGTTTCACAGTTCCTTCGGTTTTCGGCGCCTGTTGGGACGTGGAGGGGGGAGTTTCGGGGAGGGGGGTGGGGCTTCCGGCAGAGCAGGGCCAAGGGGGGGGCGGTAGCTAAGCCCCCCCTCTTTGGGAAAGGGATGGGGGGGAGGGAGCTTCCGAGGGGCGGAACAAAAAGAAGGGGGGGGGCTCCCAGCAGGGGAGGCTCACTGGAGGGGGGCAGCTGAGCCCCTCCCCCCGTTGGGGGCAAGGAATGGGGGGGGGGGAGTAGCTCCTGGAGCGCGAAAGGAGGAGGGGGGGGGGCGTCGCGTCCGAGGGGCGAGAGATAAGGAGAGGAGGGGGGGGGGTGGCGTCTGGCAGGGGAGGCTGAAGGGGGGGTGTGGGGGGTAGCGAAGACCCCCCCTCTGGAAAGGGAGGGGGGGGGGGCGCCTCCGGAGCGCGAAAGGGAGAGGGGGGGGGGTGCTCGGTCGGAAGCCCCCCCCTGGCCTCCCGAGAAGTTCTCGGAGCGTCCCCCGAAGGCACAGACAGAGAGCTCTCCTCAGCAGGCCGGCGAGCTGCTGAGAAGCTTCGCCGCCTTTCTGGGGAAGGCCTTCTCCCTCTCGCTTCCCCCCCCTCGCTCGCCGCCGAATCTTCGAGCATCTCGGACCATCTCGAGAGAGAGAGCTTCTGAGAAGCCCCGCCGCCTTCTGAGAAGGCCTTCTCCCTCTCGCTTCTCCCCCTCGCTCGCCGCCGAATCCTCGGAGCATCTCGGACCGTCTCTCTCTCTCTCTCTCTCTCTCTAGAGAGAGAGAGAGAGAGAGAGAGAGAGAGAGAAAAAAAGAGAGAAAGAGCACGCGCGAAACCACAGACAGTGCACGGGGGATGGGGCCCCAGCGCCGATCCGAGAAATCCGCGCGGACCTCAGAGTTTTTATGTTTATGTCACTTTTTGTTCCCCTAATTCAGGATGCAACACCAGCCCCGGGGAGTGGGTCGAGAGACCTTTTTGGGGTCGACGTGGTGAACTGATCCTGGCGTCGGGGGGCCTGGGGAGGTCTCGTAGGGTCGGGCCCTCCGCCCCCAAAGCCATGTCTCAATCGGCCGAATGCTGGCGATCACGGGCGCTGCCGGTCGGGGAGGAGTCACAATGGTCTGGGGACTTTTTTTTTTTTTTTTTGTTTTCTCTCTCTCTCTCTCTCTCTCTCTCTTTGCTCATATATATATATACAAATACATGTTTGGCAATTTTTTGAGCACTGGGTATTCCTGATTTTTTCGTGCAAGATCCCCCTGTAGGGGGAGAGGCCCGACCTAAGTGTGGGGGTACCTGGGTTTTCTGCATCGATCTGCGTGCCCCTGGGCGCCTTCGGCGAGGGAGGGCGGGGCTCGGGGCGGGGAGGCGCCGACCACCGATCGCCCCTGCGTCGCCGCAGGGGGCCCCGGCGGCCCGCCCCGCCGAGGACCGCGCGAGCTCGCGAGGGGAGCGCGCGACCGCCGCTCTGAAAGCGACGTATCGTCGATTCGAGGTCGACGACCCCCGGGATCCACACCGCGAGGGCACGTCCTCGTCCTCGTCCTCCTCCTCCTCCTCCTCCTCCGCCTCCTCCGCCTCCGCCTCCTCCGCCTCCTCCGCCTCCTCCTCCTCCTCCTCCTCCTCCTCCTCCTCCTCCTCCTCCTCCTCCTCCTCCTCCCCCTCCTCCCCTGCGCGGATCCCCTCGCGTTACCCCTCGGTGGGGGGGCGGCTCCGTGAACGGGCGCTCTCGGGGGGCGCCCACGTATATCGAGGAGTGGGCCCGGCGGCGGGGCCGAGAGCAGCTGCACGCAGCAGATTTCTTACCCCCCCCCTTTCCCCATCCCCCCCTTTCACTCGGCCCGAGAATAGGTGACGATGAGATCCAGCGTTTGGCGTTTGTTCAGAGCAGCCATGGTTGGACTGCCAGGTCTCCAGTCCACTCTCAACGGCCCCCTACTTCCAGGGTCCGGTGGCTTCCCGTCTTCCTCTCTCTCTCTCTCTCTCCATGGGGGCGGGCCGTCGCCCAACTTGTGGTCAACGTCTTCCTACGCCATGTCTTTACCCACTTGTTCGGATCGACGGGTATGTGACCGTTGAGAGCAGAATGACTGAAAGATCGTGTGACGCGTTGCAGGGCTTCCTTGCATGGCCTGAACAATCGCGTCCTATGGCGAATCCTTTTTAGGCCGTGGCTTGATACCAATGTGGTTGCGTGTTGTTCACGGTGGCTTGACACCTTGTCCAGGAAGTACCGCTCGCAGTTAGAGCTTGGTGTCCCGAGCACCGTCTCGTCCTGGTTAGCTGGGCTGTTGTTCGAGCTCCAGTTCCCGAGTCGAAGGGGGTACCAGGTAGCGCCATGATGCATTGTCTGCTACACTGAGAGGTTTTATGCGTGTATGCCTGCCTGCCTGCCTGTCTGCCTGCCTGCCTGCCTGTCTACGTGTGTGTATGTATGTATTCAAGGAAGTAAAACAAGTAAGTAAGTACGTAGGTAAGTTAGTAAGTTAGCACATTAGTAAGTTAGTACGTCAGTACGCAATTCAATAAGTATGTAAGCAAGCAAGTCAGCAAGCAAGCGAGCAAGCAAGCAAGCACACTAGTAAGTACGTACGTTCGTCTGTATGTATCGAGAGGGAGCGAGAGAGAGAGAGAGAGAGGGAGATAGAGAGAGAGAGAGAGAGAGCGAGGGCGAGAGAGAGAGAGAGAGGGATACACACACACATATATATATAGAGAGAGACACGCATATATAATTATATATATATATATAATGGATACAGATGTTTATATTCAGACAGAGTGAGAAGAAGAGGACCATTTCAATCGGGCAGAGGCAGGTACGTCTTCACGAGCCTGTTCCTGAAGCCCCTTATCCGGCTGGCAGTCGACAGGGTGAAGAATGTGCTCGGGGGGGGGGGGAGCGCACGGGGAGTCGGGGGAGCGGGGAGGAGGAGAGCCAGGAGGAGGAGGAGGAGGAGGAGGACCTGATGAGGAGGAGGAGGAGGATGAGAAGGAGGATGAGGAGGAGGAGAAGGATGATGATGATGCTGTTGATGATGCTGATGATGACGATTATGATGATTATGATGATGATGATGATGATGATGATGATGATGATGATGATGATGATGATGGTGATATGATGACGACCATGATCATGATGCTGACGCTGATGATGATGATGATGATGATGATACTGATGCTGCTGCTTCTGCTGCTGCTGATGATGATGATGCTGATGCTGATGCTGATGCTGATGATGATGATGCTGATGATGATGGTGGTGATGATGATGCTGATGCTGATGCTGATGATGATTATGATGATGATGATGATGATGATGATGATGATGATGATGATGATGATGATGATGATGATGATGATGATGATGATGATGATGATGAGATGATGATGATGATGATGATGATGATGATGATGATGATATGATGATGATGATGATGATGATGGTGATATGATGATGATGATGATGATGATGATGATGATGATGATGATGCGCTGCTGCTGCTGCTGCTGCTGATGATGATGATGATGATGATGATGAGGAGGAGGAGGAGGAGGAGGAGGAGGAGGAGGAGGAGGAGGAGGAGGACCTGGCCACGTGTCCGTTGGCTTGCGAGTGTCATTGTCAACTCCCACAGAAGTGTCGGCGACGGCGACCTCGACGACCCATAGATCCGACGTGACGTGTCGTGCCCTTTCACGACGCCTCCCGGGGCCCGGCGAGGGCCCTCAGAGGCCGAAAATGGCGAAACGTTTTTTTCCTCCAAGACGATCAGAGGCATGGCGACGAGACGAGGTGTCGGGCGAGGAGCATTTCTTGCACAGGCACCGGCCCTGGCCAGGCCACTCTGGGGGCCCAGGATCGGGGTGTACGGTCGGACCGAGGTAGAAGATCGAGGTCGGCTCGGGGAGGGCACCCCGATGTTCTTCGTGTCTGCTGGGGGCTCTCGCGCATCCTGGGGGAGGGGGTACCCATCGAGTGCTCTTTCTCAGGAGGGAAAAAAGCACACAAACACAATTAATCGTCGACCCCCAGGAAAATATGAGAAAATATGGGAAGTGGGGGGGAAGACGAACACCCAGGAAGTATGGGAAAATATGGGGGATCCTTCTATTTGTGTGTATTTATTTGTGTGTCCCAGGGCCCCTTCACTTTCGTCTGGCCGGCGGAGGTTCTCGTGCTCTTGCAGGAGGCTCCTCGCGTCCCAGGTCCGGCTGCGTGTGCCTCAAGGGCCCAGCCACAAAGGCGTATGCACCGCGCCTGGGCTCCGGATGTGGGGGCCGGCCAGCCTCGGCGTACGTGCACAGCTCTCTTTCTTCCTAGGGTCCTGGCGTCGCTCTCGGGCGTGTGATTTATTTTTTCCTCGGCGAGGGCCCTCGAGGGGCCTTCTGGAACACCTCGCGAAGCACGAGAACGCACGAAACCAAGACATGCACAGGGGAATGGGGACGTCCGAGCAATGGCAAGTCTCAGGTGGGGGGACGGCGGCGGAGGAGGAGGAGGAGGAGGAGGAGGAGGAGGAGGAGGAGGAGGACGAGGAGGAGGAGGAGGAGGAGGAGGAGGAGGAGGAGGAGGAGGGAGGAGGAAGAGGAGGAGGAGGAGGAGGAGGAAATGGAGGGGGAGGGGGGGGAGTGATCCTCGGGCCGGGGGGGGGGGGTAGCTGCTGCTCTCCCCCCCCCCTCTTCCTCTGCCTTCTCTTCCTCCCCTCCTCCACCTCCTCCTCATCCTCCTCCTCTTCTTCCTCCTCCTCCTCCTGTTTCTCTTCCTCCTCCTCCTCCTGCTTCCTCTCCTTCTCCTCCTCTTTCCTCTTTCTACTTTCCCTCCTCATCCCCCTCCCCTCACTTTCCCCTTCCGCCTCCTCTTCCTTCTCCCTTCTCCTCCTCCTCCTCTTCCTCCTCTTCCTCCTCCTCCTGGCCATCTCGCCCTCGAGACGCTTGCAGGTGCGTGCGTGCCTCGAAGTGGCGCGCGTGCCTGCGAGTCATTGGCTTTCACGCCTGTGTCCCGAACCAGGTTCATGGGCACGCATCGAGAACATGCACTGCCAAACCCCGAGCTCCCGCTCTGGGGGTGCGGCCACTGTGGAGGGAACGGCAGCTGGGCCAGTCGGCTCACGTGCCGTGGATGCGGCAGTGGACCCCCCCAACGGGCCCAGAGTCCGCCCCGACCAGCGGCCGAGTCACGCTCCGCCCGCTGGCTAGGGGCCTGCAGGCTCCGCGCGGGCGAGCGGGCCGCCTGGGGGGCTGGCCAGTGAGCTCAAGGACCTCGAGGCACCTTTTCCGGCCCTCACGGTCGGCAGCAGACAAGGAAGCGGCCCGAGCCAGTTTTTCGGCACCGGTGGCGTGGGTGGGGTGGGGTGGAGAGCTCTCGTTCGCGCAGGTGCTCGGCTTCCTCGAGCAACAGAACATCGAGTCGACAGCCATCTCGCAAGTCGAGGCGGCCAGGGTCCAGAAGCTCGAGTCCCACCCCCACGAACGGCCCTGGCTGCGCGCCACAGGGTCGAGAATTCGCAGGGGGAGAGCGCCAGGGCGATCGTTGATTTTGAGCACTGCGCCAGGGTGCTGCGCAGGGTCCACTTCGAGGGGGCCGCGGACCCAGTCAGCGTCGGCATGGCTGGCTTGGATCCCGACGCGGTGCAGTCCGAGACGAAGGGGACACACCTGCAGAAGTTGCAGCAGAACCGCTGCACTGGGCGCTCCTGAGCCGACGTGCACATTCGTTCTCGAGCTCGGGACTCTCGCGGGCCAGCCGGCAGGCCCTTCCTGCACTGTCCTTTTGACCGGGGAGGCCCATGCAGGTCCCTTGGACTCAGCTGCGACGTGTCTCGATGGCGGTTCGGCTGGCGCGACCGAGGAGGGCAAGCAGGCGCTGGGGACCCTTGCCCGACTTCGGGCGGCAGCGGCAGCGCGGGCGGCGGCGGCAGGTACGCAGCCCCCGTTCCCCCTCGCTCGCCGCCGACTCTCCTCCTTCTTCTTCTCCTCCAGCTCCTCCCTCTTCTCCTCCTCCACCTCCTCTTCTTCTTCTTCTCCTTCTTCTTCTTCTCCGAGGCGGGATTTTTCTACATGACCACCGCCTGGAGGGCCAGTTTTCGGAGCCTCGGCAGGCGGTGGATATGGGCACACTCGGGCCCCTGGGGGGCCGAACCATATCCACCTCCACCGCCCGCCTGGGGCACCAGGACGTCGGCTCCCAGGCGGTGGATATGGATAAATCCCCGCCTCGCATCTTCCTCCTCGCCCCCTCCGCCGAAGTACGGTAGGTTTGCGTCGTGTCGACCAGCGGCGACCCCAGCGCGGGCGTTCAAGGTTGAACGCCGCCGGCGACCCAGAATCGATCGATGTTGAACGATCGGACGTTGCGGCAGCGGCCGATCGTTCAAGGTTGAACGATCCCTGCGGTGTCAAAAACCAACGCTGGGGTCGGCACGACACGAACCTGCCGTAAATCCCCGCCTCGCATCTTCTTCCTCGCCCCCTCCGCCAAAGTAGCCTCCGCCCCAGTCCCCCGACGGCGTGATCTTCTCTCACAGCGTCGACCCCCAGAGGTCTGGCCCCCTTCTCCGGGACCACATCCCGAGTCGTTTTTGGACGGCCCTGAGGCCCTGTAAGGGCCCCCAGGGGACGAAAACAGGGGAAAACCTCCCGTCGTGATTTTTTACGCCGCGATCATGTCTGGTCGGAAACTGGAACGTGTACATTACCAGTGGCGGGCTGTTTTCCAATCCCAGGACTTTCTTGAGGGTCGGGAACGACGTCGGGGTGGTGTGGTGGAATTTTTTTCCCGTCTTCCAAGGGAAACGACGAAACGTGCATACACCAGCATCCCATATACACCAGGATCCGCTTTCCTGTGCGAGTTTCAGTGCAGGGCCAGAAAGAGCGTCGGTGTACCCAGACCCCCGACGTCATGATTTTTTCATGACGCGACCCCCAGAGGTCCAGACCCGTTCCCCGGGACCGGTTGTTCATCCCGAGTCGTTTTTGACGGTTCCGAGGCCCAGTGAGGGCCCTCAGAGGCCGAAAATAGTGAAAAACCTCCCGTCGTGATTTTTTCATGACTCGAGGAGGTCTGGGTATAGAGTTCGATGCCCTATCTGGCTGGGTCCGCCCCAGCGCGGCGCCGGGCCGGGGGGAGGTGCGGCTGTGCTTCGCGGCCGCCATGCTGCCGCACCTGCGCCGCGTCGGGGGCCGCCTCGGGCGCAACCGGTCGCTGGTGCTCACCGCGAGGACGCCGGGGGGGCCCTTCGGAGCCAAAGGGCTGCGAGGTTCCCAGACCCCCTCGCGCTGTGGAAGAGTCGCGACGGGAGGTTTTTGCGCCAATCTTCCGAGGGCGCCCTCGAGGGCGCGAAGTTCCTCGCGCTTCGCGCTTCGCGGTTCGGCTCCGATTCCTCCTCGGCCTCCTCTTCTCCCCTGGGAGGCGGCGCGAGAGCGCGAAGTTGTTCGCACTTCGCGCTCCGCGCAGCGCGAAGCGCGAAGTTGGGAGCCCTTGCTTTCGGCCTCCAGGGGCCCCCACTGGGCCCCAGGACAGCCACAGAACGACTCAGGATGAAAAGCCGGTCCCGACTTAGAGTCCAGGGGTCGATTTTTGAGTCGAAGCCTGGAGGAGGAGGAGGAGGAGGAGGAGGAGGAGGAGGAGGAGGAGGAGGAGGAGAAGGGGTCCAGTTGTCGAGGGGTTGACGTCGTGAAGAAGTCACGGCGTCGGGGGTCTGGGCCCCCTGATCAGGTCCTCAGGGGTCTCGAGGTTCTCCAGGGCAGCGACAAGGGGGGGCCAAGCACAGGGGAGGACACGTCGACCTCGAATGGCTGATACACCTCAGGCAATGCTTAAGAAAACTTAGATTTTCGGCCAGGGTCTCGATTATTCTTAATATTTCAACGTAAATCCTAAGATTTTAATAGAATTTTTGGGTTTTTAGTCAAGTTCTGAGACTATGAATTTCTTAACCCATGATTTCTTAAGCATTTCGCAGGGTGTACACTGGCGACGCATCGACGAGGCATCTCTGATACCGCGGCGACGTCTCCACGATGTATAGACGATACACGGAGCACCCTGCATAGACGACGCATCGACGCTGTGCGGGCTATGTATCGGCCCTTCGAGGTCGACGCATCCCTTCTTATGCCTTCCCCCCAGGTTCGAGGATCGAGGATCGAGGTCCGCTTTTTCTGGGCGTTTTGGATCCTCCTATGGCGCCCTCGTGGCCGCGGCTGGATCCGCCTCGAAGTCCTGGTCAGAACGCGCCCTGGGAGAGGCCCGGAGGATCGAGGAGCGATGTCCGCTTTTTGGGCGTTTTGTGATCGCCCTGGGGCGCCCTCGCGGCCGCGGCTGGATCCGCCTCGGAATATTTTCTTGCCGAGAACGCACCCCTGGAGAGATCCAGGGTTGAGTCGGGCATGTCCCTCTACAGGAGGGAGATTCAAACATAGTAGAAATATCGTCAGGGAACGATTTTTTTTGGCCATTTATGGAAATCCGCCTGTAGGGGGACACGCCCGACTGAAAGTCCAGGGACCGATTTTTGACTCGAAGCCTGGAGGAGGAGGAGGAGGAGCAGGAGGAGGAGGAGGAGGAGGAGGAGGAGGAGGAGGAGGAGGAGGAGGAGGAGGAGGAGCAGCTGGAGTAAGAAGGAGGAGGAGGAGGGTAAAGGAGGAGTTGAGGGTGGGGGAGGAGGAGAGGAGGGAGACGGGGAGGGAGGGAGGAGGAGGAGGAGGAGGGAGCAGGGAGGGGAAGAGAAAGGAGGATGTAGGTAATGAGGAGGCGTAGAGATGAGTAGAAGAAGGATGCGAGGAGGCTGAGGAGTAGGAGGGGGGAGAGCGCTTTCGTACGAGACGGGGGGACAACGCCCCCGACTGCAAGTCCAGGGACCGATTTTTGACTCGAAGCCTGGAGGAGGGGAGGAGGAGCAGAAGGGAGGAGGAGGAGGAAGGAGGGAATGGAGAGGAGGAAGAGGAGGGCCGCGAAGGGCAGTTGAGGAGGAGAAGGAGGAGGAGGAGGAGGAGGAGAGTGCAGAGGAGTAGGAGGAGGGGAGGAGGAGGAGAGAGGAGGGTAGGAGGGAGGAGGAGGAAGAGGGAGTGAGGAGGGAGGGAGTAGAGATAGGAGGTGGAAGGATAGAAGGAGGAGGAGGGAGGAGGGAGGAGGAGGAGGAGGGAAAGGAGGATGGGAGGGAGGAGAGAGGGAAGAGGAGGATGAGAGAGGAGGACATGGAGAGAGGAGGAGGAGCCGCTTCCGACGGGGGGGACAAACGGAGCCGCGGACATGAAAGACCAGGGACCGATTTTTTGAAACTCGAAGCCTGGTAGGAGGGCGGAAGGAGAGGAGCAGGAGAGAGGAGGAAGGAGGAGGGGAGAGAAGAGGAGCTTAGGAGGAGGAGATAGGAGGATAAGGAGGTAGGGAGAATAGAGGTAGGAGGAGGAAGGAGGAGGGAGGAGGTGAGGAGGGGATGAAGGAGGGGGAGGAGAAGAGAGAAGTGGAGGGGGGAGGAGGTAGGAGGATAGGAGGAGAGGAGGAGAGGAGGAGGAGGAAGGAGGAGGAGGAGCGCTTCGACGGGGAGGGGGGGGGACGGCAGGCGGGCCCTCGAGGTCCTCGCCGCTCTCTCGTCGCCTCGGCGGCCTCCCCAGCCGCGGCGGGGTGCCCGCCGGCAGCCGCGCCTCGCCGAGGGCGCTCCCGGGTGTGTGTGTGTGTGTGTGTGTGTGTGTGTGCCCCGGGTCGCTTCGAGCGGCCGCCGGAGGCCCGAGCTGCGGTCCCCAGAGCCACCGGGGTCAGGGATAGTCGGGGGCGGACAGAACCCCCAACAGTGACACGTCGGTCAGTGAGCTATCCGTTTTCGGTTCTCGAGAGGGCGCCGTGGCCGTCATTTTCCGGGCTCGCGCCCGCCGGGTTTGGGCCTCAGGTCGTTTTCACTAAACCACGTTTTACTAAAGGGGGGTCTGTCCATCCCCGAGATAGGCTCAGAGGGGTGCGCATCGACCCCCCATCGCACATGGATCGCCGAGAATCGGGGGCCCCCAAGCGGGGCGGTGACCACACCGTGTGTGGTGAGTCGGTGGGGATTTCGGGGTCCCCGCACGGTCTTGGGACTCGGGCTGGTTCTCCGAGGACGTCTCGGGCGACTGGGGCATCCGAGGTTCCAAAACCGTGCGTTGACGGACCGTGCAGTGAGGTCTTGGGGGATTTCGAGGTCACAGCACGGTCTGTCACCGCACCGTTTCGGGACTCCAGAGATGGGGGCCCGACGGCCCCAACCCGCCCAGGACCGTGCGGATTCGCCATCGGGGGCCCATCGCCGATCTACCGGCGATGCATCGCCGATTCCAGGTCGATGTCCCCCTCCCCCCCTACGCCTCACCTCACCCCGCCCCTATACTCAAAGCGATGGGCCCCTATCGGCAACCACCACTCTACCAATATTCCCTATATTCCCGGGAGAGGAGGAGGAGGAGGAGGAGGAGGAGCGAGGAGAGGAGAGGGAAGAGAGGAATGGAAGGTAGACCTCCTCATCCTCCCCTTGTCATCCTCCTTCTTAAACAACTGGCAAAAGCGGGTGGTTGGGACCAATCTGCCGCCCAACAAGGAGATGGTCCCGACTCCCAATCGTGGCCCCTCAGATCTTTGCATCGGCGTCGCCCAAGAATGCCGATAGCATGTGCGTGTCGGCCCCGCAGGGGCCACGCGCGCACCGAGAGATCTCGTAGCACATGCCCCGTGGCCGGCGCAGTCTGGCCGCATACCGCTCGGGGCGGGATGTGCTGCGCGACGGTGGTGCTCGATGTCCGGGTCGGAGGCACGCCTCCAAGGAGGACACACAGTACCAGCATGAAGTCGGGCGTGCCCCTCTACAGGAGGAATCTTCAAACATAGTCAAACATAGTCTGAGGGCTTTTTTACTTTAGAAAGAGAATCATTTACCATGTTTGAGTATGCTTAGACTATTTTTCATTTTTCGTCGAAAGTCCGCCTGTAGGGAACACGCCCGACCTAATACTAGCATGTCCTTGTGCATCCCACGGCGTCGTAGTTCTCTTCGCGCTGGGCGTCTTCGCCCGGCGTCGGGCCTCGGCAATGGCCGTCCTGGGGTCTCGCGGTTGGGTTTCTCGCGGAAGGTTTCTTATGGTCGGGCCCCTATACTGTATACGTGCTGCAGGCCTAGCCAAGATGGCGTGGTGTATACACCGCTGCTGGGTTCAGGATGGGCCTGGCCAGGGAGCCGTGGATGCGTACCCAGACATGCGACGTCCTGTTTTTGTCAGTACGGCGTCCCCGGAAGTCCAGACCCTTTCTTTCCCCGGGACCGGTTTTTCACCCTGCGTCGTTTTCTGACGGTCCTGGGGCCCGGCGAGGGACTCCAGAGGCCGAAAATAGTGAAAAACATTTTTTCATGACTCGAGGGGGTCTGGGTATAGATTTCGTCGCCCTGAGAGGAAGATGCGCAGAGAGGACTCCGACCGGGAGGTCCGACGTGTGCTGGCCCCCTGCACGGAGGCGCTGGGCGTGCCAGACCAGGACCTGGTGGGCCCCGAGCCCGACTGGGACGACCAGGCGGAGGATTCCTGGCCTTCCGAATGCGGCCAGACCCACCCTCCTCCTCCTCCTCCTCCTCCTCCTCCTCCTCCTCCTCCTCCTCCTCCTCCTCCTCCCTCACGGCCTCTCCCTCCTCAGTCCTTCCCCTCAGCCTCCTTCTCCTCCTCCTCCTCCTCCTCCTCCTCCTCCTCCTCCTCCTCTCTCTCCTCCTCTCTCTCTCTCTCCTCCTCCTCCTCCTCCTCCTCCTCCTCCTCCTCCTCGGATCCAGCCGCGGCCACGGGGGGCGCCCCGGGACGATCAAGAGGCGTCCAGGAAGCGGACCTCGATCCACTGTCCTCGAAGCCCGCGGGCCGAGCCGTGCTCAATCTGGCCCGATCCCTCGATCCTCGATCCTCGAATCCTCGATCCTCGAATCCTTCGAATCCCCCGAATCCCTCGAATCCCTCGACTCCCTCGAATCCCTCGATCCTCGATCCTCGAATCCCGCCGAAGCTGGCTGCATCCCGGGCTCGATCCGCCCTGTTCCGGCCGTAGTCGCTTTGACGAAGACCTCTCAGAAGTCGCTTTTCTATGGGTTGGAGGGCAAAGTCTACCTGCTTCTAGAAGACCAGTATCTCGGGCCTGCACCAAATACCGTTCTCACTTTCTAGCCACACGCGCCTGCAGACACATTGGAGATCGGAGAAACGGTGGATCCGTCTACGTTATGTTCTCGGAAGACCTCTCAGAAGTCGCTTTTCTATGGGTTGGAGGGCAAAGTCTACCTGCTTCTAGAAGACCAGTATCTCGGGCCTGCACCAAATACCGTTCTCACTTTCTAGCCACACGCGCCTGCAGACACATTGGAGATCGGAGAAACGGTGGATCCGTCTACGTTATGTTCTCGGTGTAGAGCAGTTCACACGCGGGCGACGCAAGAAACCGGGCCGCCTTCACCGATTGGCAAGTAAATTTCCCGCCTAAGGTCGGGCGTAAGTTCCCGCGTCTCCAGTGTGCCGTGCCGCGCCGGCGGCCCGCGGAAGCCGCCGCGTATCGTCGCTGTGCCATCTCGCGTAAGGCTCGTTTCGTATCGTCGCTTACTCGGTAGCCGATTAGCGTCGATTAGCGCAGATTTAGCTTCGAATGACGTCGACTTAGCGTCGATGAGCGTCGATTAGTGTCGGTGCGCAAGAGCCAACGAGATAATATGGGGGCCTCCCATGAGTTGCCTCAGAACTTGCGTTCGGCGTTCGTTGCGTTCGGCGCAACACAAGATTTGAGAAAGGGTAGGTCCGTGCACAGTATGCTCCTGGTGTGGAGTAGGTCCCACCTGGTATTCCAACCGATGTCGAATAAGAACAAAAATGCGTAGGCTGAACTTTCGGCGCCCCGCGCAGATTTCTTGGACCTGCGCTGGCACCTCCTCCCTGGCGCGCGGAGCGCGCCGGGGTCGGTGCCAAAGGCGCCGCCGGGGGGCTCCAGCGCAGATCCAAGAGATCAGCGCGGAGCGCCGAACGTTTAATTTTCTTCTTCCGGTGTGTGAGGCCCCATCGAGGATGGTATTCGGTGCCGCGGAGATCGGAGAGTTGCTGGATCCCCCAGAAACGATACGAAAACACAGGTTCGAGCCAGAAATTCGAGGAGGATGAGGAGGAGGAGGAGGGGAAGGAGGAGGAGGAAGAGGAGGAGGAGGAGGAGAAGGAAGGGGAATAGTACTAGTCATCAACGATGTTGGAACACACCCTTCCTTCAAGCTCCCTCTTCATAGGCCCCTATAATGGTTCATTTCCATTGAAGGAACTGCCTCTTTGGAAGACAACCGTTTGAAGACCCTGAAGCATACCAAAACATTGTTCTTGGGATTCCAACGTCTTGGATCAACCTGACTGTTGCGTCTTGACAATCCTGAGTCGTGCCAGAACGCCATTCCTGGCACTTCAACACAGCGAATCAGCATAACTGTTGCACCCGCATAATGCGGAATCCTTTCAACACAGTATTTCTGGCACGTTGATATGGGAATCCGTGAAACCCTCGTAAATTTTCAAACGAATGTGCGCCGTGCTAAGGCGAGAGCCCCATTTTGAAAAGGATCCGCCCTCAATTCGTGGAATTCTTGCAAACGCTTGAAACGAATGTGCGCCGCGCGAAGGCGAGAGCCACATTTTGAAAAGGACCCGCCCTCAATACGTGAAACTCTTGCACATGTTTAAACCGAATGTACGCCGCGCTATGGTGATAACCACATTTTGAAAAAACCCGCCCTCAATCCGTGAAGCTTTTGCAAATGTTGAAATGGATTTGCGCCGCGCTAAGGCGAGAGCCACATATTGAAGACGGCACACCCTCAACCCGTGAAGCTCCTTGCAATGTTTAAGACGAATGTGCGCCGCGCTGAGGTGAGAGCCACACTTTGAAAACCACCCGCAATCTTTGAAACCCTTGCTTTTTTACAGCGAATGTGCGCGGCGCTAAGGCGAGAGCCACATTTTGAAAACGACCCGCCCTCCATCTGTGAAACTGTTGCCAATTTTGAGGCTTCAAGAAAAGTCTCAGGCCAAACGCTTGACCCGCTCTAAAAACTGGCCTCGGGGTGCGACAGGGAGAAGTTATTGATAAGGAAAAGGAATGGAGGATGAAGAGGAGGAAGAGGAGGAGAAGGAAGGGGAATAGTACTAAACATACTAAGAGCTATAATAGTACTAAGCATAAGGCTAATGATAATCCATATGCTACTAGTACTAATAATCAGCAGAATAATAATACTACGAATAAGAATGCGAATCATAATACTTGTAATAATGAACATAACAATCATCACATTAACACGTAATATGAAGAATGCGACTAATACGATTAATATTAAGAAAACGGGATATAATATGAAGAACAAGAAGAGTACTAATAATAAGAAGAAGAGGAGGACGAGGAGGACGATGAGGAGGAGGAGGAGGAGGAGGAGGAGGAGGAGGAGGAGGAGGAGGAGGGGGAGGAGGAGGAGGGGGAGGAGGAGGTACCATATTTTAGTCCCGACGGTCGTCCAGGCGCCCCCGCAGCGGCCCCACAGCGGCCCCCCCCAAATAGCCCTGGGCTCCCAGAGAGGCCCCGAAGCGGCCAGAGACGGCTCCCAAAACCCCACCTGTGGGAGGCCCCTCGAGGACGGCTGGCTGGCGCCCGAGGGCGGCACGGGTGGGCCTGGCCACCTTGCAGCGGAGCAGGCCCCCCACGCCGGCGCTGCTTCCAGCGGCGGCGGCCGCTGCCCGAGCGCCGCCAGCAGCAGCGCCAGGGAGAAGGACGCGCCACGAATCGAGCCCAGATCTCCTCCTCCTCCTCGTCCTCCTCCGCGTCCTCCTCCTCTTCCTCCTTCTCCTCCTCTTTCTCTTCCTCTTTTATTTTGCCCTTTCTCCTCCTATTCCTCCTTCCGTTCCTCCTCCTCCTCCTCCTCCACCGCCTCCTCATCCTCTTTCTGTTCCTCATTCGCCCCCTCCTCTTCCTCCTCTTCCTCCTCTTCCTCCTCCTCTTCCGCCTCCTCCTACTCCTCCTCATCCTTCGCGTCCTTCTTCACCTCCTCCTCCTCCTCCCTCTGCGTCCTCCGCGTCCTCTTCCTCCTCCTTCTCTCCCTCTCCTTCCCCCACTGGACGGGGGATGGGGATGGGAGCGGGCCAGAGGGGGATGAGAGATTGTTTTTTTCCAGTGCGGGCCCTTTCCCCAGGGCCAGTTTCTCATCCCGAGTTGGTCTTGGACGGTCTCTCGGGGCCCGGCGGGTGCACGCCCCACGGCCGACGACGGACAAAACCTCCCGCCGCGTGTTTCACGACGCGAGGCCTTCTCCTCCTCCTCCTCCTCCTCCTCCTCCTCCTCCTCCTCCTCCTCCATCTCCTCCTCCTCCTCCATCTCCTCCTCCTCCTCCATCTCCTCCTCCTCCTCCTCCTCCTCCTCCTCCTCCTCCTCCTCCTCCTCCTCCTCCTCCTCCCCCGCCTCCTCCTCCTCCTCCTCCTCCTCCTCCTCCTCCTCCCTCCGTGGGAGGGAGGGCTGGAGGGGAAGAGGACAGGACCTTCGTGGGCTCGTGGTCTTCCATGCCCAGGAGAGGGACTCGGCCGCTCCCGCGGCGCCCGCCAACGTCCTGTCCAGGCCTCCTTGGGAGAAGAAAAATCGTCGTCGTCCCCACCGCTACCGCCGCCGCCGCCGTCGTCGTTGTCGCCGTCGTTGTCGCCGCTGCCGTCGCCACCGCCGCCGCCGTCGCCGTCGCCGTCGCCGCCGCCGTCGCCGTCGCCGTCGCCGTCGCCGTCGCCGTCGCCGTCGCCGTCGCCGTCGCCGTCGCCGTCGCCATCGTTGTCGTCGTCGTCGTCGTCGTCGTCCTCGTCGTCGTCGTCGTCGTCGAGCTGAAGGTATTTTGGCTGACTTGGGCCAGGTCTTAGTGAGGCGACTGCAATTTCCTGCGGTCGTGAATTGTCACCTCAGCTTAAGCACAGTTGTGCATCGATGGCCCGCCAGGCCATCAAAGACTTGTTTGCAGAATTGGCCGCACTTCGAAGCGAGCCATACGTCTTGAAGCAGCAATTCCGAGTGTTTTACCATTGTTGGTGCCGGGAGGATCTAAACTGTCTTGTTTTAGCCCGCATGCGTCGGAGTTTCTCCACTCTTACCGAGGTGTCACCCGCATGCGCCACGACTGTGAGCGATATCTGCTTCTCCCCGTTGGGGCCGGCTGGTGGGAAGGTGGGCCTTTCCCCAAGTCGACATCCGTGGTTCATGCTCGTGGGCGTTGTGAACCCGACTTTCATGTTGCATGCGCGTTCCTCTGTATCGAATCGGGGCCGCCGCGTGTCTATGCTCGTCAGAGATGTGCCATGGGCCACATCGAGAACTTACTCATTCCTGCGCGCGGCGTGGTGCGACAGGGCTGCTGCCGCCGCGGCTCTGCTTTGTTCGCTGGGGCCTTCGAGGCCTCGCTCGGTGGTTCAGCCGCCCCCCTCCCTCGACCCCTCCCGCCCTGCGCTCGCCCCCTACAGTGGCGCGACCCCACTTCTGGGGCAATGGCGCCGATGCTGTGCTGAGATTCGCGCGCGCCCCCCCGCCCTTTGAGCTTTGTTGAGCTTATCGCCCCAGACGGGGTGGCGTGCCTGCGCCGACGCATGGCGTGCCTGCGGCAGTGGTTGCGATGACAGGGGGACGCCTGCAATTTATCATTCGACGCGCCAGAGGTGCCTGCGGTTTACCATGGGCGGTGCTTGCGTTGGTGATAGATAAATGTTTTTGGCGCTTGCGCTAACAGCGTGATAGCGGTGGGATGCCTTCGCCCAGTTATTTGATGCGCTTTTTGGTGCTTGCGCTCCATCACAAAGATTAGCGATGGCTGTGGCCAATCCCGAAGGAAGCGATGTGGCCAATCCCGCGGTGCCTGCGCTTGGTTGTGCGCAGGACTCACGGGGATACATCGAGTGCCCCCGCGGTACCCACGCTGACAATTCGACTGCGAGGCGATGCCTGCACCATATGATTTGACGCGCCTGCGGTGCCTGCGCCGACTCGCGCGCAGCGCCCCTGCGCCGAGGAAACGACAGCGCCCGCGGTGCTCGCGATTGCGCCGGCGTGGCGGGGCGATGCCTGCTCCCCACTGCTTGAATTGCCTGCTGTGCCAGCGCCAAGCCGCGCGCCCGGAACTTTCGGCACTGGCGGGGCCGGAACGAAGCGGTGGTTGGACTGCGCGTCCTCGGCGCAACGTCGCTGGTCTTGCGCGGAGCCGGCGGCAGCCATCCCGGCGCGAAGAGCATCGAAGCCCGCGATCGAGTAGTCGACCTCGCGACGTTCCACCAGCGCGCCCAGCTCACCTGCCAGGTCGTGGAGCCCGGGGCAAGGCTTCTTCCGCCTTCTGCATTTGGTTTCCATTCGGTATCGGAACATGGAAATCAAGACTGAGCCAACACTGCCAGTGACGGGGGTCGCCACGGATCCGAGGATAACGGCGACGGCCGCGACTGGCGATGTCGACGAGGCAGCCCTTGCGGCCGCGATCGTGACCATCGACGTTGCACCCCGCCACGCGGAATCGGCCTCCAGTTGGGTGTCCCTGCTTCGTCTTGATACTGAGACGAGGTGTGAAACGCTTGTAATTTCACTGCCAGCGACACTTGGTCCTTTAAGGGCCTCAAACATCAATGTTTGGATAGGGTTCCTGATAATGTGGCCTTAGATATGGCAGGCGAGCTGTCCCAAGAACGGGAGTGCGTCAAGCTGCGTTCTTGGATGGATCGGTCTTCCTTCCTTGATGCATCTATTGAACAAATCCTTCGGGGAAACCGAGTGGTATTTCAAGAGTAAAGATCATGACGTGGACCAACCGTTGAACAGTATGCACGACCTTCCAGTCAGAGCCGGCAGGTGCCAGGGCAACCCAACTCGAGGGATGTTGAATCTCTGATGGTTGAACAGTTCGCTGAACGCGGTATTTTTGCTTAAGAGAAAGTGAAGACAGAAATGCAATTGACAACTCAAAGGCAGAAGGTAGAAATGCTGGGATTGTTGGCGAGCCGCACACCAGCGTAACAAGTTTCTTTGCTGCGAGGCTTTTGTTGCATCCATCAGTCGCCATCTGGTTCTCGGTTGGAGCATTCATGCGGATTGCATGCGAAGGGCCTTGGTCGTAGCGCGGCTGCTGCTTGGACGCGCCAGGGTGTAAGAGGTAGGAGGTCGTTGTCGTCGTCGTCTTAGTTGCAGACGGGGTAGTTCAGGACGAGGACCCACCCTTCCCCCGCCGTCGGCATTCCGACGGGTTCTCTTTCTTCCCCCCGAGCAGTTACTCACCGCCCACCAAACCACCCCAACCCAACCCGAAGGCCCCGATTGGTCCTCCATTTCCAGTGGGGGGGGAGTCGGGGAACATTGAAAAACACGTATGGAACCCGTACCCCCCCCCGACCCGAGATTCGGGTCAACTTCGGGTCTTCGGGTTGGGTTGGGGCGGTTTGGTAGGCCGCCAGTTGCTCCGCATCCCCCGACAGCATGTGCCTTCGTTCCCGCTCGGCTCCTGCTGCTCCCCCGAGGCCGGCGCCCGTGCAGCCCCCGCTGTCGCCGGGCTCTGCGCCTGGGTCTCCCTCGCAGGCGCCGTGGGCAAAGCTTCGGGGGGGGGGGGACCCGCATGGGGTGAAGTCGGGCCTGTCCCTTTACAGGAGGAAGATCCAAGAATAGTAAAACAACAGTCGTTTTTGTTTTTTTTTGTTTTTTGTTTGTTTTTGTTTTGTGTGTTGTGTTGTTTATATATATATATATATATAGAAAAATTATTATTAGTTATTTATTATTACTATTATTTTCATTATTATTATTATTCTTATTAATAATTTATTTATTTATTTATTCATTCATTTATTTATTTCTTTATTATTAAGAATCATAATTATGTATTATTATTATAATCATTATTTATTATTATTATTAATTATTACTAATTATTATTATTATTAGTAGCAGTATCATATATATATTATTATATATATATATATATATTTATAAAGCAAGAAATGATAATAATAATAATAAAAAAACTAAAAAAAAACAATGGAGGATTAGGGGCGTACTTTTGTCGGTAATTTCGATGCTTCGTCCGAAATCTGCCCGTAGGGGGACATGCCCGGCCTGAGCATGGGGGTGGCGGCATCCCGAGCATTTTCTATGGTTGGATGGCAAAGGGTGGAATCTGAGATGCCGTTTCCATGGATTTTCGAGGCCTGAATCGGCGAATGGTGAATCGCAAGACGGATCGATTTTCGAGGTGCAAGAGCCCACATGGATTTCACCCTGAGCCCTCCACCCTAAGGACGTGCTCAGATATCGGTCCCCAATCCCTCAGATCCGTGCGCTGCCTTCTCCCGATGCCGAGCGTTCTCGCCCGATGTCGGGCCCCGGGGATCGTCGCAGGTCGATCCGGCTCGAAAGCTGCTGCAGGAAGATGGTGTCCGGGGCTCTGGTCGTGGTTCTCTGCGATGTTGCAGTTTTTTTTGGCAACGTCGACTTCCAGGGATCGCCCACTCATCGCCGATCGCCCAGGAAGGAAAACGGCACAAACAGGAACCTTCGAAACTCCTCGCGGATTTCTTGGGCTTGCGCTGGACCCCTCGGACGGCGCCTCCGGCGCCGTCCCCGGCGCGCTCCGCGCGCAGGGGAGGGGGGCGCGCCAGTCCAAGCAATCAGCGTGGAGCTCAGAGATTTTATTAGGGGAACAAAAAGTGACATAAACATAAAAACTCGGAGGTCCGCGCGGATTTCTCGGATCGGCGCTGGACCCCCCTCCCTGGCACGCGGAGCGCGCCAGGGGCGGCGCCAGAGGCGCCGCTGGGGGCCCCAGCGCCGATCCGAGAAATCCGCGCGGACCTCCGAGTTTATTTATGTTTATGTCACTTTTTGTTCCTCTATTGATGTTTATGCCTTGGAGGGCCAAGCCCACCTGCGCCTAGAAAACCAACATCTGGGGCCGATGCCAAATACCGCTCTCACGTCCTAGCCACAAGCGTCTATGAACACATTGGGTGCCGCGACGTCCATAGACACTTTCAGGGTGGATACGTCTATGGACAACGTGGCCGTTGCGTTCGGCGCGGCGCAAGGGCGGAAAAAGGGTAGACCCGTCGACGGTATGTTCCTGTTCTATGCCTTTTCTTCTCCTCGGCGATCGGCGAGGAACAGGCGGTCCGTTGGATCCGACGTTGCCAAAGAGCTTGCAGCATCGCCAAAGTCCAAGGTCGGGGCCGGGGCCCCCAACCTCCTCCTCCCGCTCCTCCTGCTCCTCCTCCTCCTCCTCCTCCTCCTCCTTCTGCTCGTCCTCCTCCTCCTCCTCCTGCTCCTGCTCCTCCTCCTCCTCCTCCTCCTCCTCCTCCATCTCGCCTCCTCCTCCTTCTCCCACCTCCTCCTCCATCTCGCCCAGGAGTCTCGCAGCTGGGCCCTCCGCCCCGCCAGGGAGCGCGCGGCTTCTCTGCTTTCTGAAGAATGGCTCCTTCGTCGATCTATGCCGCCGAGGTGCCGCCGATTGCGTTCGGGCCTCCTCCTCCTCCTCCTCTCCTCCTCTCTCCTCCGTCCCTCTGCCTCCCCCTCCCCCCCTCCCCCTCCCTCCTCCTCCTCCTCCTCCTCCTCCTCCCTCCTCCTCTTCCTCCTTCATCCTCCTCCTCCTCCTCCATCCTCCTCCTCCTCCTTCTCCTCCCCCTTCCCCTCACCCCTCCTCCTCCACAATTACTCAATATGAATACTACTTCTCCCTCTTTCCCCTGATGACGTCTTGGGAATATCCGCCCCCCCCCCCCCCCCCCTCCGCGTAATTTGGTTTTTTTTGCACACAGGTTTCCCCCGGAGTTGGGTTATCCGCCTGCCTTTTTTTTTTTTTTTTTTTTGTTTTTTGTTTGTTTGTGTTCCAAAATGCTGCTCTCGCTGAGGCGCCGGCCTCATTTTCGGGCCCCGCTCGTTCCGAATCGTGCTCCCGCTGCAGCGCTGGCATCATTTCCGCCGGCGCCCGGGCTGCACGCCCGAGCCAGCGCCCGGGCCGGCGCTCGGGCCGGGTCTGGAGCCGGTTCCGGCCGGCGCCGGAAAATCGAGTTCCGAGGCGGCGCCGACAAAAGGCCATTCCAATACAGATTTTTCTTTTGACAATGCAGAATTTCTGCTTCTGGCGCCCGAAGCCTTCCCCGGAGTTGTGTTTTCGCTTCCAATTTTTCCCAAATTGCTGCTCTCGCTGGGGCGCCGGCCTCATTTTCGGGCCCCGCTCATTGCGAATCGTGCTCTCGCTGCAGCGCTGGCCTCATTTCTGTGCTTCCGCTTGTTCCGAATCGTGCTCCCGCTGCAGCGCTGGCCTCATTTCCGCGCTTCCGCTCGTTTCGACTCGTTCTCCCGCTGCAGCGCTGGCGTCATTTCCCATGCCACGGCATGCACTGCAATGCTAGGTTGATACTACGCTTCGCGGTGCTCTTCTACGCCATGCTACTCTACAGTGCATCGCGCACCTTTTCGGGATCATCGCCCTGCTTGACATCCGACTGTGCGAGTAGAGAGGGGATCTGCGCCATGGTACGGGATGGGAGGGAGGGGTAGGATGTCAGATATGACGCGACCGCACCTAGCTTGCCCTCCTCCCCCTCCCCCTCCCCCTCCTCCTCCTCCTCCTCCTCCTCCTCCTCCTCCTCCTCCTCCTCCTCCTCCTCCTCCTAGCGCCGCCGTTTCAGCACCTCTGTTGCGAGCGCACGCCCCGAGGTGACACGGACACGTTCGGCTTCACTCTCATTTACGTGGCTGCTGGCTAGCAGCTGATGGTGTACACTCTTGCCATTCTCTCTTTTAACTGCTTATATGGATCGCACACGCGCATGGAGGATATTGCTGCTGAGGCAAAAAATTTTGGAATGATTGGATTGCAGGGAACATGCAGCAAAGCGTACATGAATGAGTCATATCGCATGACACGAGTTCTTGACAGAGTAGCAGTTGTGGCAGGCTGGAAGCACAGCAAGTATAGCAACAAGAGCGCGGGGTGCACATTTCTTCTACCGCCAAGATGGCCACAGAAATGTATTCGACGGATTGACACACCACCTATGCAATTACAAGGCCGTGGAGTGGGCGTGTATTTCAGATTCAGAGGCATGGCATTCTATGCGATGACTTTATATTTTCCACCTAAGCCTGCGGACAGGAAAGCGATGCCCAACTACTTGTCGTGCTGTGAGAAGTTGAGCAGATGGGCATCTATCTCAATTCGAAACGCACCGCATTCGGCGACAGTTTTCATCATGACGGACGTGAATGATGGCACGGGTCTATCAAAGCAATCGGGACAGTGGCAGGACGTGGGTGAAAAAGCTGTAGGAGTGGGAGTCACACATGAGAGACATCTCTGGGGAGCTGGGCAACGCTTAAGAGTACTAATGGAAGAACATGGGCTTTTCTCGACCACCTCGTCCCAGAGGGTTTCACCGACTTTCTTCGACGCGCATGGCAACAGTAGCATGATTGACCATGTCATTGTCCCCCTTGCAGTTGCCGCGAGGGTAAAATCTGCTGGACCTCTTAAGAAGATGGGAAGTAAACTACAATATATTCCTGTCGCTGGACATAGAGATCATATCCCAGTTCATGCACGGATCGAGTTAGACATTGATATGAATGATCAGGAACAGACACCATGGAGGGCTCCGAATGGCGATGAATATTGTGAAGTGAAATGGGATAAGGACAAACTGATGTCGGCACTGAAAGGATCACGGGAAATATATGAATTCATTACCGCAGTGGAAGAGAAACTATCGAGGCTCAACCTTCAAGAGAGGACCAATGAATCAGCAGAGTACTTGCTGAAGCAGCTGGGCACCGTGATGCGAGAAGTTGGCCAACAACTGTTCACTCGTAATCAGACACCGACCATCGACACGGACAAGCAGGAAAGGCTTCGTCTTTTGCAGCGACGTCGAGAGCTCAGACTTCAGCTTCACGAGTGCGACAAAGCTGAGCTCCAGGCGTGTACGGAGGCACTCAAGTCACTCACCAAGCTGTGTGCGAAGCGGGCGAAGGCCGCACTGAGAATGAAGCAGGACGCGCTGGTGGAGGAGATCTACGAGGCGTGGAGGCGGCGCAATCTCGCTGAAGTGCATAGGTTGAGCCTGCGATTGGCAGGCGGGAGGTTCGGCAGCGGCAAGCGTGATTTTTCACGACTGCAGGGCGCCTTGCCCACAGATGCAGAGTGGCTTGAGGCTTGGTCTAAGCCAGGAGGAGAGGGGGGGATGTTGGCGGCTAGGTTCAGGTGGGGTGACTTGGAGCGGGATCGGGAACGGTATAGGCGGCCACCTCCACCGCCACAGTTAAGTGCTGATCGAGCGGCACAATCGTGGAAGGACGCTCTAGGTGATCTAGCTTCGTTTCAGACTTATTTGAAGACAGCTTCTAAAAGGAAAGGGGTCCCCCGGTGGTCGTTGCCCGTTGAGGTCTGGGCCCTTGGGGTCGGTGAGCCTCCTGAGGAGGACCCTCGTCGCTGCGCTGGACTCGGCTCTCGGATGCCGACGGTCTGGGGAGAACAAGTTAGAAGCTGGCTGGTGCAGATTTTTTTTCAAATCAGACAAACGGGCCTTATCCCGTGTCTCTGGTCCTGCAGTCAGGGGTTTGCTCTGCAAAAAAGTGCCCTCCCTGGCCCTGCGGGACGTCGAGTGGTCCATGGATTGGACCCTCTCGGGAAAGCCTTTCTCAAGAGAGTGATGAAACGTGGCCCGTCGTACACTCACCCGGAAATGGACCACGGTTTTTTACGTCGTAGGCGTCGAGAGGACGCGATCGCGGTTAACATGTGCACCTCTTGGAGATTAAATAAGGCTGGCCTGTATTGGATTGATTCGCTAAAGGATTTAAGCAATGCTTTTGCATCACCAGCTTGGCCAGCAGTGGACGAAGCCATCAAAGATATGGCTCGTGGCGACGAGAAGCGTTTTTGCAAGCAAAGATACCGACAGGCCTGTACTTCCATCCCAGCCGAGGGTGGAGACCTTGTGCTGCGAACTGGATGTGGGATGCTCCAAGGGGACCCATTCGCCGTGAAGTCGTTCGTGCACGTGTTTCGCCCGACGGTCGATCGCTGGATTTCGAAGTGTCGCGAACTGGATCCCCAGGAGCGAGAGTTAGAAGCTAGTTGTGAAGTTTTAAACCCACCCAAGGTCTACCTGGGACTAACCAAATTTGCTGGCGATTTATTGAAGAAGTTGGTCCTTGGACCGCGATTTTCCTTGGACCTGGCCAAACACATAGTGCAACAAAATGATGAATTGCTTGACGCTGAGCTGGCGAAGATCGGTCTTAAGCGCAACCCAAGAAAGCAGGAGGCTTTTTTTTCGGCCCCGCCCTCAGCCAAGCGTAAAGTATCTAGCATGTTGCGAGGAATAGGGTGTAGTTGTAGCGAGGCTGTAAGATATCTAGGCCCGCGGCTTACCCCGACCCAATCGTTCCAGACTGAACTCGGCAGACGAATCCAGGCGGCCAAGACGGCCTACTTCAGGATGGGGCGTTTTTGGCAGTTGCCCAACATCCCCTTTAGGTGGAAAAGATGTGTTCTTTTATGCCATGTAGTGAATTCTGCCCTTTCGGCAGTCGAATGTTTTATTCCTAGTGCTGGTCAGCTTCGTAAGCTTGGGCTTGCGGTGGCGGGTTTGTGTCGCAGAGCGATGAGAGGCAAGGCGAGCTGGGAAGATGCGCACCACGTTCGCTGCATGACCTCGCAGCAAGTGCTTGAATACTGGAAAATCATACCGTTCGGTGTCGAGCTTCTAGTCCGAAGGCTGAAGTGGTTTCAGAGTATTTGTCTTTTTCCCGAATCGCACCGACAATTGATTGCAGCTTGGTTTGGTGAATACCTTGGAGAGGATGTCTTCGGTAGCATGTGCTCAATTCGACCTGATGCAAATCCGTGGGCTTTGAGAGTTCACGCAGACATTGAACAGCTTGTGCTCGTGTCTGAAGAGGCCGCGGATCTCTGGAGAGAGGCTCGCTGTCGGGTAAAAAAATTGTTCGATCCTGAGTTTGCTGCCAGGTTTCGCAGGATTGATGTCACGATCCTCCGCAGTGCCTCCCTCAGTGTGAATATAAGCCCCACGAATCAAGCCACGACCTCTATGGGAGGCGAGGAAGAGGAAGCTGGGGCCCTTTTAACTGAGCGTATGCACACCTGTTTCTGGGAAGATGAATCAGGCCCATGCGGGGCCACCTTTAGTAGTAAGTCAGGCCTTGCTAATCACATACGAATTGTACATAACAGTGTAAAGCTATCGCATGCTCTCACTTTAACTAACCAATGTATAGTGTGCGAGGAAGTCTTTGGGGAGCGGCTCACGGCATGCAAACATCTGGAAGGGGCCCTGCAACACGGACGATGTTTACGGAACAAAGCCAGCACGCTCGCGGAGCTCACGATTCCCTCGGTGATGGTCTGTAGAGTTTGTGGCTCAGAGCACAATCACATTCGTGACTATAACGTGCACGCTCGAAC